GGGTCCGGGATGCAAACTGCGGTCGACTACGTGAGAGTCCAGTGACATAGCCATTACGCTAACTGCTGGTTCCCAATAAAATAATTCTTTTAAAAAATGAAACAATGTAACAAGCACATAGGAGATACAGTATTTCCTCAGAGACGAGAGAGTAATGAACAGCCTTTTTCAAAAGCATGTTTCTTGGGACCAGCAGTTAGCGTAATGGCTATGTCACTGGACTCCCATGTAGTCGACCATAGTTCGCATCCCAGACCCGGTGGCTTAAACTGACGCTGGGCGCGTGTGCGTGCGTGCCCAAGATCCAAATACAGTATTTCCTGAGAGAGGAGATAGCAATGAATGCAGAGACCTACTATTAAGAAGCCTTTTTCAAAAGCATGTTTCTTTATGGAGAAAGTAGCACCTAAAAAAAAAAAAAAAAAAAGTATGTTTCTTTATGAAGAAAGTAGCACCTACTTTTTAAATACATACAGCAGGCTTATATCACTGTATTTCTAGATTCCACCCTGCCTCTCTCCCATCCCTACCTGCCCTAGTCAAATTCAGGTGACTGCAGGATTAGTCCAGGAGAAGTTCTAGGGGTCCAGGGATGAAATGATGGCTTAGGGTAGCCCCCCCCACACACACACGCAGTGGTGCCCCTTCTCCACTAACACAGGAAGAACTAGACAAACAAGAGAAGAGGCCCTATTTTCTCTGAATTGAATACATAACTCTCTAAAGAAGACTTACAATGGACAAAAGGTCAATGAAAAAATGTTCAGTCTCTTATCATAAGGGACATGCAGATTAAAACCACAATGAGGGACCACAGATGGTGTAATGGTTACGTTGCTGGACTTCCACAGTCTACCAGAGCTGGAGTTGGCTTAAACTCACACCAGGAGAGTGTGTGTGCGTGCCCAAAATCCCAAGAGGAGAATGGAGGAAAAATAACTGTGGTGTGGTCATCCCCCTTGGGGGGTGATTTCTTGCTTTCTGTCTCTCTCTGTCTCTGTCTCTAAGGCCAACACATGCGCCCTATAGCAAAAATCTCTCTAAAAAACATAAAAACAAACAAAAATCAAAACATACGCAATGAGAATGGCTAAGATAAAAAATAAGTAATGACAAATACCGATAAGGCCGGAGTGAAGAGAGAGCCCTCTTGTATGTTGGTGGGAATGTAAATTGGTACAGCTTATATGGAAGACAAAATGGGGGTTCCTCAAAAACCTACAAGTAGAACTTCTATATGACCCAGTGATCCCACTCCTTGGTATTACCCAAATGATAGGAAAACACGCAATTAGAAACGTGCATGTCCATGCTTACGTCAGCATTATTCAGTACTGCAAAAACATGGGACCAGCCTAAGTGTCCAAAAACTGTTGACCAGGTTTAAAAACTGTGGCACAGATATACTGTGAATGACTCAGCTGTAAGAAATAATAAGATCCTGGGACCAGCAGTTAGCGTAATGGTTGTGTCGCTGGACTCCCATGTAGTCGAACACGGTTCGAGTCCTGGACCCGGTGGCTTAAACTCACTCCAGGTGCGTGTGCGTGCGTGCCCAAGATCCCGAGAGGAGAATGGAAGAGAAGGGATTGCGGCACAGCCATCCCCCCTGGGGGGTGATTTCTCGCTCTCTGTCTCTCTCTGTCTGTCTGGCAAGTGCACATGCCCTATAGCAAAAACCTCTCCAAAAAAAAAAAAGAAATAATAAGATCCTATCATTTGACCCGAGGGGGATGAATACAGAAGACTGACTGTTAAGTGAGCTAGATTTTGAAAGATACCTATTGTATATCCCCACTCGATCAGCACCAAGTGTCGGGACTCCACTGCAGAGGTTGAGAGGTCCGAATGTGAGTGGGGGAGATGGCTGTGGACGCTAGGGATGGGAAGGGGGAGAGTGGATGGAAGAGGAGGGTACTGGAGGGTGGGGGAGCTGTAAGGGGGGGGGAGACGTGACAGAGAAACGTAAAGTTCCCTGCTGAAAATGTGTACAAATACATATAGTATCCATGATGGGGACTTTATGTAAAATGTGAGATTAATCTGAAAAAAAAAAAGAAAAGAAAAGAAAAGAAAAGAAAATGAATTAAACTTCTGGGATTAAACACACTCTATTTTTTTTTGTTTTTTGGAGAGGTTTTTGCTATAGGGCGCGTGAGCTCGCCAGACAGACAGAGACATAGAGACAGAAAGTGAGAAATCAACCCCCAGGGGGGATGGTCACGCCGCAATCCCCTCTCCTCCATTCTCCTCTCGGGATCTTGGGCACACACGCACACGCGCCCGGCGTGAGTTTTAAACCATCGGGTCCGGGATGCGAACCGCGGTCGACTACGTGGGAGTCCAGCGACATAGCCATTATGCTAACTGCTGGTTCCCTAAATGCACTCTATTCAAACATATTGAAACACATGCTCAACAGAGGACTGTCTGTTGATAACGTGTACGATAATATCTTTAACTGAACTGGTGTGTGGTGTATTTATGTTGGGAAAATTCACTTTACAAGCTGTGATGATGTACAATGATTAAATGTATAAAACAAATTTTTAAAAATGACGGTATATGTTAATAAAAATACAAACTCATCAAAAAAAAAAAAAAAAAGAAATATATGCTCGAAATATCCATTTTTATAAGGACATCCGGCACCCTGAACAGCAGTGTTCTCAAGTCGCTGGGCGCCTTGTTCATAATGTACAGTGCTCAGCCCTTCTATCGCCTGGTTCTTCACGCGTCCAAACCATCGCTGGGTGTGACTCTTCCCTGCCACTCAGCTCTCAGGAGTTTCTGCCTCCTCTGAAGACATACGGTATACATATGGTCACCCTCTCCTCAGATTTCCTTAGGTTACTCTTTTAATCAGTTTGTTTGCTTATTTGTTAACTGAACCTCTGCCCCAACTAGACTCTGGCACCTCCATTTGGTGCCTCATGAAATAGCTACGAATGTGGTTGTTTCTACTTTCTGCCTCTATAGCGAGTCCCCTGCAACACCAAGCCCAAAGCCTGGCCCCAGTACACGTTCAATCAGTATCTGCTTAATGTTATGCTGACCTGAAGCATGAAGCAATAACTGCTTATTTCTTCTTTTTTTTTTAAAGAATTATTTAAACTTCATTTATTTATTTATTTTAATTTGACCAGAGAGGAACTGAGTGAGAGAGAGAGAGTCAGAAAGTGAGCCACCAGGTCTAGGACTCGAACTGTGGTCGGCCATGTGGGAATCCAGTGCCCTTAACCACCATACCACCTGCCGGCCCCAATAACTGCTTATTTCTTGTTGAGATTTGAAGGATAAATATTTATGATGGCAACATTAAAAAAAATAAATAAATAAAGATGCCCCATCCTGGGTTCTGACCTGGACCGCGTAAGCGATGGCAAGACCTGCGTAGGCCGGGGGGATCTGCCCGTGCATGAGAACGATCATCAGCCCCGTGGTGGTGATCAGGGCAATGCTGATGAGGTCCAGCCTCACCGCCAGCCACCGCATCGCACATGTGAACAGGAAGAAAGGAGCCTGGTTGTCATCCAACAGCTCCTGGTACCTGTGGGGAAGACAGAACACTCAGTGAGCGAGCAAGAGGGCCACGCAGCCCTGCTCCTGGACGGGTCAACACTAGTGACCACAGGGCAGCGGCAAACCTTCCTGTTCCTAACAGGACGAAGGACGCCCTGAGGATGGATGCTCCAGGCCTGACACATGGTTCTTTAATGCTAGTTACCCCTTTTAAAAAGTGAGAAAACTAACAACAAAAAATTAAATATAAAAGCTGCTAAGGGAAAATATCTACCTCAACGGCACAAGGAACATACGGGAAAGGAGACATAAGAAAAAGGCTTATGTTGGGAATCAGCAGATGGCATAATGGTTACGTCACTGGACTCCCACACAGTCAACCGGGGTTCGAGTCTCAGACCAGGCAGCATAAAATGTGTCAGGCGAGTGTGCGTGCCCAGAAATCCCCAGAGGAAAACGGAGAAGAGAATGCAGCGTGGCCATGCCCCCGGGGGGTGATTTCTTGCTTTTTGTGTCTCTGGTGAGCACACACACCCTATACCAAAAATCTCTCTGCACAGCCCTGCATCAGTGGGGTACGTGGCAATGCCACTGGGGCTCTAGACAGCGGGTTAGACCCCACCCAAGCCTCGCGGCACCACCTGCAACTGAGCCTCCAGCCAGCAAGTCTGCTGGACAGACACGTTAGTTTAACAAAATAAAATCACTTTTTCCCTTATAAGAAATATACATATTCTTTCGATTACCATGCACGGACACTGTGTGCATGTATACACGCCCACATATTCAGTCTATTTTGCTTTTTATTCAAGTATTCCTCTGAGGTGTTTAACATTCTAAAAATACATTTTCTAACCAGAAATTTTCTTTTTTTCTTTTTAGGTTTTTGCCATAGGGTGTGTGCATTGCCAGAGATAGACAGTGAAAGGGAAAGTGAGAAATCACCCTGGTTGGGAGGTCGGGGGAGGCTATGCCCCAATCTATTCTCCTGAGATTTTGGGCATGCATGCACATGTGCCCAGTGTGATTTCTAAGCTGTCAGGTCTGGGACTTGACCTGTGGTCAGCCATGTGGGAATTCAGTGTCTTAACCACCCTCCTACTTACTGGTCCCTCAGAAATCTTCTTCTAAAAAATAGTTGCCTGATTTTTTAAATAGGCAAGTTACATATAGGATAGAAAAATTTAAAGTTAAAAAAGATTTTGCCATAAAATAGTCCTTTTTTTTTGTCAGGACAACTTATATGACTTTAATTTTGATATAATTTCAAACTTACAGAAAAACGACAAAAGCAGTATCCACATACCTTTATTCAAACGAGTTACTTTTAACATTCTGCCTGCTAGATCATTAATGTAATTTAATCAAAATGATAACGTGTAAAAACAATTTGTCCTCCAGCCTGCCTGTCCTCCAGCTCCCCAGCTCCCCATTCCAGTGGCAACGAGCAGTCTCCTCTGTACCCTTTCAGAGCGATTCTAAACGTTCCTCATGGAAACACGCCAAGACAACCTCCAGGCCCAGCCTCTTCAGCACAGCGGCAGTGGACCAAGTGTGGACCGGAAGCCACGTGCAGCTCTGCTTGGCCCAAGTGCCTGGCCCATCAGCCCGAAGGCATGCTGGGCACACGCAGACGGCCCAGGTCCTGGCGGGCAGGGGGACTGGGGAGGGTGGCAGTGTGGCCAAGCGTAACTCTCTCTCTCTCTCATACACACACACACACACACACTCCTAACTCTCTCACACACACACACCTCCCTCTCAAACACAAACTCTCTCACACTCACCCAAATCTCTCTCATGCACACCTACTTCTCTCTCACACAACTCTTAAACACAGACCTATTTCTCACACACAACTCTTACACACACACCTACTTCTCTCTCACACACGCACCTCCCTCTCACACTCTCACACAGACCTCACACACACACACCTACTTCTCACACACACACCTACTTCTCTCACGCACAACTTTCACGTGCACCACCCCCCCATACACACTCACACACAACTCCCTCATACACACCTACTTCTTTCACACAACTCTCTCACATACACCTCTCTCACAAACTCACACACACACACCTCCCTCACACACACAACTCTCTCACATACACAACTCTCTCACATGCACCTCTCATACAAATTCACACACCCCCTCACACATACGACTCTCTCACACACCTACTTCTCACACACACAACTCTCACAACACAACTCTTACACACACCTATTTCACACACAACTCTTACACACACACCCACCTCCCTCACACACACAACTCTCTCACACAACTCTCACATACACAACTCTCTCACATACACAACTCTCTCACATGCACCTCATACAAATTCACACACCTCCCTCACACACACAACTCTCACACAAATCCCACACCCCCTCACACATACGACTCTCTCACACACCTACTTCTCACACACACAACTCTCACAACACAACTCTTACACACACCTATTTCACACACAACTCTTACACACACACCCCTACTTCTCACAACCCTCACATGCACCTCTCACACAAATTCACACACACCTCCCCCTCACAAACTCACACACAACTCTCTCTCACACACTCACACACACCTTTCTCTCACACACACCTCTCACACAGACCTATTTCTCACACACACCTTTCACACACACACCTACTTCTCTCACACACACAACTCTCTCACACACTCACACACCTTTCTCTCACACACACCTCACATACACACCTACTTCTCTCGCACACACCTCTCTCAAACACACACACATCTCCCTCTCACACACAACTCTCACACCCCTCTCTCACACACCTACTTCTCTCTCACACACACACGTACCCTACTGTTTCTCTAGTGTATCTTGGAGATCATTCCATGCCAGTACCTATAGGTGCCTCATTCTTTTTAAGGGGGCCACATGATATTCCACTAAACGGTTGTACCATCACTTATCTGACTACCCTTCTTTCCTTCATTCCTTTGTTTTTTAACTGCCAGAAGGTAGACACATTTGAGAGAGAGACAGTGGGAGAGAGCACGCTGTCCGGTGGGACACGGTCACATTGCGACTCCTCCTCCGTTTCCCCACCATGTTGGTATTCCGGGCACACACACACAAGTGCCCAGCATGTTTTTCAAGCTGCCAGGCTGCGATTCAAACCATGGTTGACCACATGGGATTTGGTTCCCTTAACCACTAGGCTAGGGGCCGGCCCTTACACTTCAATCTCTTGGTAAATAGTTCTACAATGTTCATCTATGCACATGAGTTTCATACGCAATATTCAACGGCTAAATAAAATGTTGGTTTGGACAGTGGTGCAGTGGTAGAACACGACTCTGAGGCTGACCCTCACAGGAGGGTCCAGGGTCTGCATCCTGAACCTCCCAGACTACTCTGGGGCTGGCTGGGGGTGGAGTGGACTGCAGAGTTAACACTCCGCTGGGGATGTGGTTTCTGTCTCTCTTGGAAGAAATAAATAAAATAAACCTTTTTAAAAAGTTCAAGCTAAATGCTACTTTGACATCAATGCCTATTATTTCACAATTTTTAATAACAAAGCAAAATTCCATCAAATACAGCTTTCGAGGACCAAAAGCTAATAGACTTCCAATCTGTGTTTTTGTCTTCCCATTTGCTCAGAAAGGAGTCCCATCAAGCAACTGAATTTTATCCAGAGATCATTCCATTAAATCACTAAAATCCTTAGTAATAGGCTTCATAACCCCCAACCCTAGCGTCGAAAGGCCTCTTAGACCCTTAATAATGCTGGGATACTGGCTCCCCCCCCACACCGCCACCCCCG